GTAAATTCCACCAAATGGATGGAGAAAAAAAAAATGCATGTTCTCTTCAGTAAGAGCAAATGTGACTACATTCAGTTATCCCATTTTTCCCACCCTGGGTGTGGAGAGGAGCCAAGGATTCTGACTCTGCTTTCCCTGGCACATACCAGCTGAACGATGGGCTCCATGAACCAGCTGTGCCAACCTTCACCTTGAGCTGAAGGCAGAGGCATGAAGAAACTGAAGCCCAGAGAGGTCAAATGACTTGCCCCAAATCATTCATTCATTTCACAGATATTTGTGAGCATCAACTCTGTGCTGGGTTCTGTACAATACCTGCAGGACCCCATTACAAAGGCAAATTCCAGAGTAGAATCTATAATCTTAAATACCGAGATCAGGGTTTTTTTTCTAGCACCGCTCTCCACCCTGGCAGTCCTGTCTATGGGTATTGAAGGCACAGGGGAATTTGATTCCAGGAGACCTGGGCTGCAGGACCAGGGCTGTAGAACAGAGATAAGCAGCAGAGTCTCCATCCTAGGTGAGGGAGAGGCTCTGACATTGCTTGTATACTGAAGAGAACAGAAGTGAGTACAGCTTCGAACATTCTCGTAGTCTCGGAAGGGAGTGAAGAGTGAGCCCAGAAGGAGAGGGACCTCCTGCATTTTAGAACCCCATATGGGGGCAGAACCTCAGGGGCATGGGTTGGATGGTACCCCAGAAGGGGTTGTGCCTGGAGTCCTCGGCTCCCAGCCTCAGCAAGCCTGTTCTGGGCTGGCTCGTCATGAAAGTCCTGGCCTCACCCAGTCTTTAAGGGCTGTAAGAGCTCAGACCCAAGAACAGAAGGCCCCCTTCCCCAACACTGGCCTGCATGGGACTGGAGGACTTTGCAGGACCCTGAGGGTCGGGCAAAAGAACCACAATCATGACCAAGATTATATTTTTAACAATCTCTAGAGAATGAGAGCTTGGGAATTTTCTTTTAAAAAATGAAATAATCCATTGTCTCTTGGTCTGAGGCATGACCCATATTTATAGAGCTAGGCTATTTAGACCAGTGTTTTTCAAGCTATATGGTGAGGCCCACTAATAGGTCATGAAGTCAGTTTAGTGACTCTTGACCAGCCATTTTTCATTAACTGGAAAAGAAAGGAAAAGAAAATATCCCAGTGCTGGTTCAGGATTTTTTTTTTTCAATTACAGGTCAGTATGTGTATATAGAGTAGCAAGGTAAATATATTTTATAGTCTGGGTCACGGTCAAAAAGTTTAAGAGGGGGCGCCTGGGTGGCTCAGTTGGTTAAGCCACTGCCTTCGGTTCAGGTCATGATCCTGGAGTCCTGGGATCGAGTCCCGCATCGGGCTCCCTGCTCGGCGGGGAGTCTGCTTCTCCCTCTGACCCTCCCCCCTCTCATGTGCTTTCTCTCTCTCATTCTCTCTCTCTCAAATAAACAAATAAAATCTTAAAAAAAAAAAAAAAAGTTTAAGAGGCAGGCACCTGGGTGGCTCAGTTGGTTAAGCGACTGCCTTCAGCTCAGGTCATGATCCCAGAGTTCTGGGATCAAGTCCCACATTGGGCTCCTGGCTCAGCGGGGAGCCTGCTTCTCCCTCTGACCCTCTCCCCTCTCATGCTGTTTCTCTCTCTCTTTCTCTCTCAAATAAATAAATAAATAAATAAATAAATAAATAAATAAATAAATATTTTTTAAAAAGTTTAAGAGGCATTAAAGTAGATCACATCACTATGGGTGAATAACTCCCTGCCAGCCAGCCACTCATATTCTCTCTCCTGTTTCTACAGGAGGAATTAGGCTAACGCGTCCCAATCCTGGATCCTTAAGTATTGGGGATATTACAAGCTATTTTCAGTAATCATAACCAGCACTTAGAAAACCTATCCCGGGCAAGGGGCACCCACGACACTTCATCTCCATTTTCTAGTTAAGTTCACTCAGACCTATGTATTTAGTGGAAGAGGTGGATTTTAAATCCACGTTCTTCTGACTCCAAAATAATGCCTTTTCCAATATACTACACTGCGTTCCCCGCCCTTCAAACACTCATAAAGCTTATTGAAATATAAAAGAGCCTACAGTAAGGCTGCTCAACCCAAACAGAACAGGCTTGAGAATATTTTGTCAAGTTGGCGGATTCATGTAAAAAGTCAAGTAATAGAGGACGTGTGTGAAGAATTCTATAAATTGCACAGCAAAATTAAAACAGCAGGTGGTATCAAGTTCAGACAAGACTGTTCTGGCGTCTTTTCCTCAGAGCTCTCAGATGCAGTAAGTCATTCAGCGCTTAGGATTGGTCTAATCATGCCTACTGGTGGTTTCTTTCTGGAAATTTCCATGGGCACGGAAGCCTACGTTTTGCCATCTCCTGCTTCTTCCTGCCCCGCTGTGGCCCCCTCCACTAGCTCTCGCCTGCTGCCTCATTTCCTCACATCAGAACTCCTTCCTTTTCCCCTGAGCATCTGTCCCTCTCACTCTGGACCCAGGCTTATCAACTTACCAGGTTTCTCTCTTCTGGCAGAAAAAGAATTTTATGGCCCATCAGAGTGCATTTTTGTATTAACCTCAGGCTCCATTTCCTACTTTATCCTTGTTTTTATTTTTACTTCTGTTCTCCTGCTTATAGGGCTATGTCTTCTTGCTATAGTCACTGCATCTCTGTAAGCCACCTTAAAGCCTTTGGGGAACAAGATAAGGGTAGAAATAAATTTTTTAAACCTACAAATAGAGATAGTTTCATGTCCCTGTTTTTCCAAGCCTGTAATGTCTTTCTTCCTGTGTTTCATGTAGGCTTGGTGGAACGGGTCTCCAGCATGGAAAATCACTGAGTCACCTCGTCTATCTACATGGATCCATTAGGAGTCTGTTCTATTTTGACAACTTGGCACCTTTTTTCCTCTGGATCCAGAACAGTTATGTCCAGAATTGCCCAAGAATTGAATAGACACTCCCAGCCTGAGAGCTAATGCTCACCTGGTTGATTCTAAAACAACCTCATCCTTGGGTTTTTGTCCTTGTTTATTATTTTAATAATGTACCTTCAAAAGGTACATTTTTGTACCCCACCCCCCACCCCCCTGATGAGATTCATCATAGTATTTTTGTCCTTAGCTTTCAGCTAACATTGGGAGGATGTTTATTAAAGGAAGAAGGAAATCCACAGCATGATTAAAAAGGAGAAGGCACCAGGAGCACAGTTCCTCAGAGCCTACTAACTATAGACTCACAGTACACTCAGGGGGGGAAATCTAGCCTCCTGCACATGTGTCTTCCACAAAGACTACTTACTTTTTTCCCACGCTGGCCAGCGGAAGCCACAGTAACATCCACCACAGCCCCAGCACCCTGGTGTGAGCCAAACAGACTCCAGGGGCTCTAACTGGGGCTGGGTAACACACACACAAACCCAGGGAGTTAATGCCCCATAGAGTGCGCTTTGGCAATGAGAGGAGATAGAAGGAGCTGACAGAAAAATTGCTCACTCTTGTTCCCACTCCAGTGGCAGTCCACGGTCCCCAGAGCAATGATTCCACACAGCCTCTACAGAGTGTCCTGTGTGCATATGCTCTCTTCCTGGGATGCTGGGGCGGACTCTGAATTACACCACCTTTTATTTGTTTTCCCTCCTTCCCTGTCCCCACCCCAGTCCTTTCCCTGCACCCTCAAGCCCTGGGATTCCCCACCTGCCACCCATACTGTATGGTGGTGCTGTTGTCTCGGGAACCTGGGTGGAGGCTGGTGATCCTGGTCTAGTAGCCTCCCTGGACCAGTCTGCACTTAAAAATATACATAGAAACACACATCAGATTCCAACACACTGAAAAGCAATTTGGATCTTCACAGAAGTATTTTTAAAGCTGCTTAAAGAGAAGGGAATGTGCACCATATTCCACGTGGAAACTTTCCCCAAAGTCCCATTTCAATATCACTTTTCCCCCAAAGTCCTATTTCCCATTTCAGCTGCTCAGATTTCCCCGCAGTACCTCCAGCCCCTCAAAGCCCTATCAGCCTCTCTTTCACTGAGTTAGAAATCTTCTCTTAACTTTCCTCTCCCTTCTTTCACCAAACCTGAATTACACAAATTTCTCATTTGAATTATGCCCTTCCCCACCCGCCACCAAGAACAGCCGATATATAACCTTATGAAGGAAGGCTTCTCCATAGAAGGGAAACAGAGGGCTATGATTGATAAGAGTTATAATCCAGGGGTAAATCCCTTAATACTATTATTACTTTTATTGTTACTATCTGTCCACACCTTCTTATCCCATTTGACCTCAAGACCAGTGGCACATGCTGGGAAGAGGTCTGGCAAGGTCTAAGAGAGCCGTGTGTGGTGGGGACACAGTGTGCACCCAGCTGGCACACACAAGGGGTAAATCAAGGCAGACCCAGTGCTCCATGCCACCCAGCCTCGGAGCCCCAGGGGTCCTGCTCCCAGTCCAGGGCTCCTCACCTGCACGCAGGGATGTCTGGTCCCCTCCACCCCCATCTCCTGGGGTCACCTAAACCCACAGAGGAAGGAAGTGACTGGAGCAACCCGTGGACAGGAGGCAGTGTCCCCGCCCCGATGACGGACACAGCCAGGAAGCAGCCAGACCCCCACCCCCCACCCCCCAAGTCACGCTGAGCGGGCCATGACTCAGCCAGAGGCAGCAGGTCCCTTGATGAAACCCTTTAAGTCTGCCCCGGGGCTAATCGGTTATTCAGCAGAGGATGTGCCCCGCTTGTTATCTGCGGAAAACAGGGCAGGGTCCTGTTCGACTGTCCCTTTTGAACAATGAGCAATCTTCCCCCTCACAGTGCAGTTTCCCTCTGATGCAACCAAAGATAAAGCATCGAGGCGCTTCTGCCCAGAGGAGGGGGAGGGGCCGGCCCCAGGGCGCCTAGCACGTCTGCGGTCTCATCTGTCCCCTGGGGGGAAAGGACCAGCCAGGAAGGGACAAAAACCTTCCGGATCAGCACAGCGCCGCACAATGAAACTGGCACTCCAGCGGTCTTTCCCTACCTGCCTTCTCTCACGGGTTCCCTCAGAACTGAAATGTGAGCCCCTGAGCAGGACACGCCCCAGCACCGTCTGGAGCACGTTGCCTTGGCAGGAACTGCCTGGCGGAAGTTTTCTCCTCTTGGTTTGGTGACTCAGGGCTGGCTCGTGCACAAACACCAGGCAGGAGCCCCAGGGACGGGAGGAGCCATCCGTCCCCGCTCCTTCCCGTCTCCATGGGGCCCACAACCCCTGAAACCTGCATCAGTGCATTTGGTTTTACAGGGAGAGAGAAGGCTTTAAAGGCAAACTCTCTCCCGGAGGTGAGCGCACAAGCAAATACCAAGAACTGGCTGCCACTTGTCATAAAATCCATGAGACAAGAAACAACCAAACCCACGGAGAATGAGGCCCCAGGCTGGACCAGAACTATCCCTTTCATCACGTTGCTTCTTGCCATTTCACTGGAAAGAATTAACTTAAGACGGATTTCACAGCTTGCTGTATATGGAATGTATCGTTCACTGCATGTAAGTGAACTCATACCATTCTGATTTTATAGAGTCAGTTCAATCACTTTAGAAGAACTATGCTGTTATCTCCATAAAGTCCAGAATTTGCAAAAGTCTAGGTACCTAGCAGGGGATACCTGAAAATCAGCAGGCCCTACCTTTTAAACTGTTATTATTAATTTTATTTTGAGTAGATAATACATTCATATATTCAAATACCAAATTCATATAAAATAATACACATTCCGAATTCTTCCACCCTGGGGCACCTGGGTGGCTCAATCGGTTAAGCGTGGACTCTTAATTTCAGCTCAGGCCGTGATCTCAGGGTCCTGGGATCGAGCCCGGCATCTGGCTCTGTGCTCAGCATAGAGTCTGCTCCAGATTCTGTCTCTCCCTCTGCCCCTCCGCCTGCTCTCTGTCTCTCTCTCAAATAAATAAATAAAGTCTTAAAAAAAAAAAAAAATTCTTCCACCCTGTCCACACTCCTCACTGTCCCCATAAGTCACCATTTTTATTACTTTCTTATCTATCCATTCAATGTTTCTTTATGCAAGTACAAACAAAAATAAATACATTAACATAATGGTCCGATTAATGGCCGCCCAAAGATGTCCTGGAACTTCTGGAACCTGTGACTCTGCTTTTTGTGGCAAAACGAGCTTTGCAGATGTGACTAAGTGAAGGATCCTTAGATGTGGAATTACCCAGGTGGACCCAATGTCATCCTTACAGGAGGAAGGCAGGAGGACCAGAAATGAGAAAAGACAACAGAGGCACTGGAAAGTACTGCACTGCTGGCTATGAAGATGGAGGAAGGAGCTGTGAGCCAAGGAATTCAGGCAGCCTCCAGAAGCAGGGAAAGGCAAGGACACAGATTCTCCCCTGGAGCCTCCAGAAGGAATGCCGCCCTGCCAATCCATTTTATTTTATTTTTTGTTTAAAGACTTTATTTATTTATTTGTCAGAGAAAGAGAGAGAGCACGAGCACAAGCAGGGAAAGCTGCAGGCAGAGGGAGAAGCAGACTCCCCACTGAGCAGGGAGCCCAATGCGGGGCTTGATCCCAGGACCCTGGGTTCATGACCTGAGCCAAAGGCAGATGCTTAACTGATGGAGCCACCCAGGCATCCCCTGCTGATCCATTTTAGACCTCTGACCTCCAGAACTAGCAGAAAATAAATGTATGTTGTTTTCCACCACTAAGTTTGTGGTAATCTGCTACAGAAATAAGAGAAAACAAACACAACTTATCTTCACCCTTTCCTTAAAAAAAAATTAGCACACCCTGGTTGGGCATTCCAAAGTCTTGGTGCAGTTTTAGGCTTTAGTAACTTCAGAAGTACAAATACTATAAACTTGCAAACAACATCATTTGAAAGTTTTATTATTTGAATCTCTTTTAGTCTTGTTTAGTTATGTAAATTTTATATAATACATATTTTTAAAATTTTGTTTCAGTATCTCTGATTGAAGATAACAAACACTGACTGAAACAAAAGCATTGATGTTAAAATTTCTTATTCCAAATTCACAGGACTAAATAAGTGAATAAGAAATGTATACAATTAAGGGGTGCCTGGGTGGCTCAGCCATTTAAACACCCGACTCTTGGTTTCAGCTCAGGTCATGATCTCAAGGTTGTGAGATGGAGCCCTGCATGGGGCACTGCACTCAGCAGAGAGTATGCTTGAGGTTCTTTCCGTCTGCCCCTCCCCCCATTCTCTCTCTCTCTTTCTCAAATAAACAAATAAATCTTTAGAAAGTTTTTATTCTGGGGCACCTGGGTGGCTCAGTCAGCTTCCATACTGCATTTACTGCCTTCAGCTCAGGTCATGATCCTGGGGTCCTAGGATCGAGATCGAGCCCCGCATCGGGCTCCCTGCTCACAGAGAATCTGCTTCTTCCTCTGCCCCTCCCCCTGCTCGTGCTCTCTCTCAAATAAACAAATAAACAAAATCTTTAAAAAAAAGAAATGTATACAATTAAGTTTTTGAGTCATGTCTTTTTAAGTTTACAGCCTTTATACTTCTGACATTATTAAGGCTTAAAACTGCACCGGGACTTTTGGGACACAGTGTACATTCTTAAGCACTTTGATTTTGTTAGTCAGCAATATGTCCTAGAGATCTTTCTGTCTAACATAAGAGTTTCCTAAGTCCTCTTACAGCTGCACAGTGTCCTGGCATGTTGGTGGATTAGCGTCCTGTTAAAGGATAGTTAGGTTGTTTCTAGTCACAAAGAGTGCTACTATAAATAATCTTGTACATATATCATTTTATATGTATGCAAGTAGATCTGTAGGGCACACTGTCAGAAATGGGAACATGGGGTCAAACCCTACTTTTTCACAAGAGTAGGGTATGGCAGATTGTTGGCAAAGAGGGTTATAGTAATCCCTCCCATCTCTGTGCACACACCCATTGGCAATGTAACTTTGCTGCTCCTGTCATCAAGAGGTAGAGTTTATTTCCCCACCCCTTGAATCTAAGCTGGCTTGTGACTTGCTCTGGCTAACAGAATGTGGAGAAAGTGATATTGTAGGATTTCCAAGCCTGGACTTGCAGCAACGTATCTCTCTCTCTCCCTCTCAGAACCACAAGTCCTCTACATGAAGAAACTTGGGCTAGCCTCCACAAAGCTAAGAGACTAGTGGAAAGAGGCACAGCCAACTGCCAGCACATGTGAGATGAGCCCCAATGGCACCAATGAATGATTGCAGACACATGCGTGACCTCAAGAGCGACAGCAGGAATGCTAAACTAAGCCCAAAGACCTGCTGTTATATAAAGCTACTCATTTTTGAGGTGATTTATTATGCAACAATAGACGATTGATGCCTCAGGAAAATAATTTTTCTTAACAAGACTGATTTTGAAATGATGTACAATACGTTAGCCACAGAAACCAATAACGAACTTCTAGAGCACTCTGTGGACTCTCAGAAGTTTTCTGAGCAAGTCCTATTCAGCTAGTCTTTTTTTAAAAAAAGAAATTTATTTATTTATTTTAGAGAGAGAGCAGTGGGGAGGGGCAGAGGGAGAGGGAGAGGGAGAGAGAATCTCAAGCAGACTCCACACGGAGTGCAGAGCCTGACATGGAGCTCGATCTCAAGACCCTGAGATCAGACCTAAGCTGAAACCAAGAGTCAGATGCACAACTGACTGCACCCCCACAGGCGCCCCCCTATTCAACTAGCCTTGTGTTTAGCTGTAGGTGTTGTAACTATTCAGATATACACCAACCCTGAGCATGCCAGAAAAAAAACTGGCTGGCCCACCAAACTCTCTCGCTTCCAGAGACAATAACAGTTTAGTGTGTGTCTGGGCAGTGACTACAGTAAGGGATTCCTCTCCACGAGGCATTACATTTCACAATTGGACAATTTCTATAGTTAAAGGGAAAAACTCCACACCTACGTCATCCCTTCTCGCACATACTAAGGCCTTTCTCAGTTCAAGAAAGGAAAATGAAGAGTCTGAAAGTGCCCTGGTTAGCTTAATCTGGCTCAAAGGAAATGGTACATTTGATTTCAACTTATGAACTAGCACACCAGTATTTTTCAATGTCAAGAAAATCAATTTGTTGTGTTGCAACCAGCATTTTTTAAATCATATATTTATACCCATGTTTATAATAGCTTTATTCACAATAACCAAAATGTGGAAGAAACCTATCAGCAGATGAAGAGCTAAGCAAAATGTGGTATATACAAACAATGGAATATTATTCCACCTTGAAAAAGAAGAAATTCTGACACATGCTACAGTATGGATGAATCTTGAGGACATTCTGCCAAGTGAAATAAGCCAATCACAAAAGAAAAAAGGCTGAATGATTCCATTTGTGCCAAGTACCTAGAGTAGTCAAATTCATAGATACAAAAGGTAGATACAAAAAGTACTTGTCAGAAGCTGGAGGGAGATGGGGAATGAGAGAATATTGTTTAATGGGCACAGAGTTTCATTTTGGGATAATGAAAAATGTCTAGAGATGGATGGTGGTGATGGGTACACAACAATGTGAACATACTTAATGCTATAGAACTGTATGCTTAAAATTTGTTAAAATGGTAAATTGTCTATTATGCATATTTTACTATAATAAAAAAATAATTACAATAAAATTAAATAAAATAGAATAAAACATAGGTTACTTAGATGTGTTCACTGTGAAAATTCATCAAGCTCTTCACTTACCATCATGTAATGTTTCTATGTATTTGCTATGCTTCAATAAAAGAATTATTTAAAACTGTAATAAAATAGAAAATGTCAGAGTACATTGCCCTTAATGAGAGTAAGTGTTGTTTTGTGAAACTTTGGTTAAGGTAGGGGTGTGTGTGTGTAGTGAATCATGATGTAAATGTATTTCTGATTGTGGTTTTAAAAATTTTTGAAAAAACATTATGCTCGGGGCTAGTCTCCATTTCCTCTTGTTATGGCTCCTTCCTTTTTGAATTTGATAGGCTTTTCCCAGTGGAAGTGATTTAATTTTATTTATTCAAGCAGAAAAATCCTTTCCCTGGGGTCTTCTCTTCGTCATAATCATTTTTCTCCATCTGACTGCTCACAGTAACTAGATTTCATATGGTAGATTTAGCCAGTAAAGTCATGTACAGACATTCTATCATC